CGGCAAAGGGCTTCGAGTGCCGTAATTATATAAAGATAGCTAAACTCATAGCGAGAATACATGCAATACATGCCTGTCCTCAACGCCTTTCCACATGATATATAGGATGGCGGCGCAGATGAGAGAGAGAGAGAGTTGGTATACCCATAGAAGTGCATTTGGACGGGATTAGAGTCGGCACGTCTGGTCTCGAGTGTATTGATAGACCACATCGCGAAGTTGCAGACCAACAGGAATGTGACCATTTCACGGCCCGGCTTTCGGCGCATCTGTTTGCGACCATTGCATAACAAATTATATTTAATTGTAATAACAATTAATTAATTATTTGTCTTTATTTAAATATTTTATTACAATTAATGTAAAATATATTCTTATCGTTATTTTTGCTCTAAATTGCAATTTATTTGTATTCATACAAATAATTTGTATGTTATATAATCCGATGTTTTATACTCTAATAAACACTGAATATATTATAATTATATTTGTATTGTTAACATCCCCTCTATATTCCGGTAATCAATATATTATATAATAAATATGAAAAATATCCACAATTTCTTAGAAAAATGTTTAGAGTATTAGAGATACGAATTTACTATAAATTGCCTATTTTTTAATACTTAATACAATATCAATATATTTTGCCTTCAAAATTATAAAAATGAATAATTATATGAAAAATACTTATTATATTATATATTTAAATCCAGACATCAGACAAACAAATGCCGCATTATTTTACAAGTCAATGAATTCAAAATAATATATGTAAATAACTTGTTTATAGAAATTAACAAATTATTCAAAATATTCATAAAATAAATTTAATTAGAGACTCAATAATATTCAGTGATTAACAGAAACAAAGCGAAAACATTTATTTTCTAAACACTATTTTGTTGTAAAAATCACAATAAAATGTAAGTTTTGCTAAACATATAATTGATTGTTAGGGACGGACACAAGAATTTCAACGATAATGAATACCTGGTCGGGAGTGGAGGCGTAACGATGGGAGGCATCTAGGATAAAAATGGATTGCAGGGTGGCCTGGATGATACAGGCCAGGGCATTGATTAATACTAGTTTCGTATTCTGTTGTAGTGTAAAGAATTGGGCGCCAATTATCGAAAACATGGTGAATATATAGAGACCAATTTGGGCCACAATCAGCAATATGTTATCCAATTCAACATTTCTGTGCCGATTGTATGGCAACTGTCGGACCTATAATTTTTGGTGTTTTAAATCAAACTCATTATTCAATCCAATAAATGATTTAAAAGAATTGTTACAAAACCTGAAATAAGGCGATAAGACATGCGATGGCATTAATGCAATAAATAAAGAGCTCAATGATGTGGGCCTGGAGTACAGCCAAGTGTCTGAATTGCGGTTTCTTTATGAACACAAAGAATATTATCAATGATATGATACTAATCACTAATAGGAATATTCCGGTGAATAAGCCTTTGTGTGCTTTAGCGCAGTCCACCTAAAAGTGCCCAAAAAGACAACATTTGTTACATAAAATATACAATTTTATAGTCCATTATATAAAGTAATTATTATATTTAATTAAAATAATCACAACAGATATACCGGTAATAGAAATAATATTAAATGAATAATAAATATTTATATTTATTGTACGAATGGATAACAAAATATTTTGAGTGAAGTGTTTATTTGGGCATAAAATCTAATATCAAGAAGTTCTTGACAAGAACTGAGTGAATCTTAAAAACACATTTCAAGTGCTTATTTGGCTTAAGAAAATTATAGTATACTGTATTTGTAATACAAAATGATTGTCTCATGAATATATGATTACTTGATAGTGATGTTTGTGATGTATTGTATGAACAACTGTTGTACTGCTCAGTGAATGTCTTTGCTGTGAGTGACTGTTCTGGCGATTAAATTTCCGATTGCTGTCAATTTAAAAAATATAAAAAATTTAATCAATTAATCGATTCATAATATGATAATAAAATTGCTATAATTTGGGCTAAAAATCTGTCCGTAATCTTAAAAGTCAATATCAACGCAAATATTGCACTGAATTATTGACTTAAACAATATTAAACAAATAAAGCGTTTAATTGTTTTTTAGATTAAACAGACGGCAAAGGGCTTCGAGTGCCGTAATTATATAAAGATAGCGAAACTCATAGCGAGAATACATGCAATACATGCCTGTCCTCAACGCCTTTCCACATGATATATAGGATGGCGGCGCAGATGAGAGAGTCGGCAAAGGGCTTCGAGTGCCGTAATTATATAAAGATAGCTAAACTCATAGCGAGAATACATGCAATACATGCCTGTCCTCAACGCCTTTCCACATGATATATAGGATGGCGGCGCAGATGAGAGAGTACTCTATAGTACACGGGAACAGGAATTGCGAGGCGTCGCGGACCAGATCGCCGATTACGTTGGATCGCCGACACTCTCCGTGTGTCATACTTATGGAGTGGTCGGCCAGCGATCGCCTCACTATCTGGTGATTGGCCTTAAGAGCGCCCGACGGATACGACGGTCCAATCGACTCGAGATAGTCTTCGGAGATCTCTTCGACCACATCGTCCACGTGTTCCCAAGCGATCGAGAAGTCGGGCAACAGTTCAGTGGTGTTTGGGTTCACTATTAGCATAATCTGGTGTTTGGTCTCCTGTATGAGCACATGTAGCCAAACGCATATATTGGTGGCAATCATATGCATGAGTCCGAAACGTGCTGTCATTCAGTTATAATAAAAGATAAATGTATAGAAAGAATACACAAAAATTAAATTTAATATTTGTTTTAGGCTTTTGTTGAGTTTGTTTAAGCTTTTAATATAATTATTCAATAATTAAAAGAGCAAATTCCTGACAAAGAAAGGCATCGTTTTGTATAATACACAACATTTAGTGATATATTCAATGAATGCATATTTGTTTGCAGACAAAATGGTTTGCTATTCTTCTAATGCAATACAGAATATTAATAAATATGGTTTAAATTGACATAAAATGCAAACAAACATTATTCACGTTATTCTTGACGACAATATACTGTATGTCTATTGAATACTAGACGGAAGACTAGGAATATATTTGATTGAAAGGATTTTGAGTTTGTTTATCGGTTTATACCTGTAGTCTATTTATACCATTTGTTTCTATAATGAATGAAAAAATTATGGTTTGGTTTTTATGCGTGTTTTAAGATCAACAAAATATATCATTTATATAATAAAGTCAATTGAATAGAAAAATTGTTTACTAAAATGTCTTCAATAATATATTTATTTAATACTCGCGACAGAAGTGAAAGAGTATTTCAATTTTATATATTATTTATAACATTAATATAATTAATTGGAAATATATTAAAAATTTACGCCAAAAACTTATTGACGACACAAAATAAACATTGAATGACATCATAAACATTATATGAAAGTAGATATAGAATTAAATAAAAATAATTAAATTTATTATTAAACCGAAATATTGATTAAGTGAACCATGTTGGTTAATTAAACGAGAGAGAGAGAGAGAGAGAGAGAGAGAGAGATTAGCAAATATAATAAACATAATTAATGTTTAATGTCTTACCAATTAGTTTGTGTCGACCGATAAGTACTCTGGAGTTCATGAAAATGAAATACAATTGAATGAAAGTGAAGGCCACGTGAGAGCCCGGTGTGAAGCCGTACAGAAAGTTATAGCAGTGCTCTTTGGACTCGAGCTCAAAAAACTGCGCGAATTCGAGGCCCGAGTAGATCATAGACCCGATGCCAAAGGCGACGGCACCGACCCTCAGATAAAATGAGCCGCACTGTAGTGTCTGGCCTTCGGTCGCGTACTCATCGCTCTGCGAATCAATTGAGGTTTTAATACCGTTTTCAGAGTCCGATTCGGCGACGGCTGACGCCGTGGACAGAAATGTGCGCTTCCGGACGATGTACTGAAACAATCGCTGCAATCTTCCCATCGGTTTGTTGTGGTGTCGGTGTAATAGAAATAGGTATACAAATATGAGGAACAGTATTGACCCCATGTATAGGTATAGGTAGAAGCCTTCGTACCAACCGATAGGTATGCGATGGGATATTACTTCAGCCATTGGGAAACAAACGCCTAACACAAACATATCGTATAAATTTTGATTAGTTTTTCTCTCAATACATGACTCAAAGAATCTTTAATTTTGAGAAGAATATTCTTTAAATACAAAATTACGTGAAATATATATATATCAATATTTGAATAAATTTCACGGAATATATTCTGCTGAATAAATTCAAAATCGTTCAAAATTGTACATAAATTCTTGTATAAAATCTCTCAAAAGTTATATAAATTTTTTTGATTGAAAGCATTTCATGACATTTTGTATTCCATTTCAAATATTATTGTTTGAATAAATATTTTGCACAAAACAATAAAAAATAAAAGACATAATATGTTATATTGTATTCACAAACCTATTACGACTAGTAATTTACAGTAGAGAGCACTCAATACGGCAACCATACCGTCGACGGCATCGGAGCGCTGTCTCTGGCCCTGAATCTCGAGGTGTTTAGTCTCTTCTTTCATGATTTGTGCCCTTTTTCTGCCCCTTTCGATGACAATGCGGTTCACGTCGTAATAGTTAGGAGGAGAGGGACTGTCGGACCCGGCGTTCAATCCGTCGTTTAACTTGTTTTCAGTTTTGCGTTCTTTGGGTATATTTCTGATGCTTAGGTTAAGGGCACCGATATTTCGTTCGCAGGAATTGCTCCTCATTTTTGACACTTCGTTGAATTGATTGTGATTTAAAAAACTAGAATTCATTTCCAGTGAATTCATTGTGAAATCACTTTTTCTCGTCAGAGATTCACACAAATTGATTAAATCAATTGAAGTCACAAATTAAATGTTAAAACTTTACCCCAAAATCTGTGCAATAATTTTGTAATATTTATTTACAAATATATACTCTCATTAAAAATAATCATTAACACAGAGACAGTTCTATAAGACTAACCAAAGTTAACAAAAAGTTATCTATAAATAGAAAACGTGTGAAAAATACTGTCAGAGAAAGAAAGTAAGAAAGAAAGAAACGAAGAGAAAGAATAAATGGGATTCTTATGTGAAATTGAAGTTAACGATTAAGTAAATACAATTTTAAGATTTTTAATTAAATAATTATAAGTTTTATTGCGAAAAGTTTTAAATTGCAAAAATTCTTTGTTTTATCAAAGCAACGAAAAATTTGTATGTAA